AGAAGATTCTCCTTGGGCGGATACAGGTCAGCTGCGCAGGAATAGTCCCTTACTAGCCAATGTTTCGCGTTTTTCCTCGATACTTAAGAGATCGACATGGATTTCCTTGATTACCATTGCTTTCGGCGGAGATGGAGAAAACTTGAGAAGAAAGAAAGAAAAAACAATTTAGGGTTTGATCTGCGGATTAGGAGACTTTTCTTTATTAAAGGGTTGAGATCTTCTCCAAATATATAAGCCCAAATACGTTTTTGAAATTTTTATACATTTAGCTACTGTAAATGATTCTAAAATTTTACTTCTTTGGTAAAATAATTAAGTGGCGAAACCCATTAAAAAATCAATATTTGGAGTTGGCATAAATCACAACAATCAGGGTATTTCACAACAATCCGTTATTTGATAAAAAATTTGGATATTGCTTGTGATAAGATCTCACAAGCAAATGAGCTTTTATCCGACTACCGTCAGTTAATTGAAATTGTAAAGACAATTATTAGTTGAAACGTTGTTCACTCTAGATTAGTGTTACTTTAGGTGTTGTGGTCGCTCATGGCTTCTTCCCTTAAATATCCTAACATCAAAACAACATATCACTTAGGTTGCAAGAAAATCAATTGCTTTATTCTTCGAGAGTTAAAAAATAATCATGGAAAAGTATCTAACTAAAAAGCAATTCAACCCAAACAAAAGAAATCAAGATGAAACTCTTAATGTGTGAAGAGTAAACAAGATAATCAAATTGATATGAGTAACTGTGGCTTACTTGTAGAGTCCGCAGTGAATAGCTAATACTCGTTTTAATGGCTTTTGGGGCGTTTCTTGATTTTCTTTGCTTACTTCTCAAAATTAATCTTTCTTGATCAAAGCAACGTTAGATGTGCGATGGTAGAATCAACGTTCACTAACACCTTTGTAATGCCAAAACTGTTACATAAAAATGTATAAACTAAAAAGTTATAAAAAAGTTGTGTAAATCAAAATTATTTTTAGAATTATAAAAAGGGATAGCTCTCCTGCACGCATAGTGACGGTAGGTTCAACATAATTAATTTGTCACGATTTACTCGCGTATGTTTCTGACTTTTACTATCTCCTTTTCTGACTTTCACAACCTCTTTTTCTGACTTTTATAACA